GACGGGAGAAGTCATTTGATTATTTTCCCCTCACAAGAAAAGGATATATAAAGTATAAAGTACCGACTTTTAAAACATCGCCATTAGGTTAATAAGTGAGAAAGTCCGAGTAAGTATTGTGTGTCGAGATATGTGTCTTTCTGTCCCAATTTAACTAATATGGTCCTTTTATCCGAACATCTCCGAAACTCATAATTTATGTATTAAGTAATTTTATTTTCATACCACACTATTTTTCATCGTAAATATTTTAGTATCCAACTTCCTGAGGGTAAGTTTACCCTTTAAAGATGACATGAAGCGATATGATCTTACCCTATCTACCCCTCCCCATGAATTTAATAAATAATAAATGTATGCTATCGCGTAAATAAGGACCGGAAAATGTGACAGAGAGTAAATAAGGGCATGTGACGAAATATTTTTCCTCACGATTTTTAATGGGAGCCCATTGGTTGATCTAATTTTAATACGATGCTTATTGGTCGGTATAATTGTCCCATGACGTAAAAAATTAGGTTGACATAGCGTATTACCCTTTGGTCATTATTAGAAATGTCATACTAAACGTATTTATTTGTTTTCTCTGAGAACTCCTACCTTTATGAAGTTATATTCCCATTAGACAAGGTAGGAGTAGGTATTTTTTTCAATGTGTCATGATGCAAGTTTGCTGTTTTTCTTTCATTCTTTACTTTTACCAATTTATTTATACTTTTATCCAATTTTATAATCGGCAGGTATACTTACTCTTCATAACACATCTCAAGTTTGGCTCAACAAGTTTGGTTACAATCGCCAGTACTGCAGTGACAAGCCAAACATTTTGTCAGGCACTTGCTAGATAGACTGAATAGAAAATATTTTTTTTTACTTGCAATAAACTAGTGCTTGACTGCGATCCCACCTGATGGTAAGCAGTGATGCAATCGTTGATAGATTCATTTAGATTCTGAAATCTGAGCCTTCAGTTTTTCAAATAAGACACGAACTACTTATAAGATCGAATCAAAATAGGGTTTTATATTAAAAATAAAACAAAATATATTTTAACTTGAAACTATTTTATATCAACATCGATTTAAATGTAATGGCCGAACTAATTACAATTATTTACAGCGTTGAGCATTGTATTAGCGTACACTTAACTATTTATAATTAAACATAATTTTACAGGCAGAATACAAAAAAAAATATTACAATCAACATATTAAGTATATAATGACGAAATTAAACCTTACTCTCCAAGAAATTATGATGAAATCTATATAGCAGTTTCAGGGTTTTTTTTTAATTAATTCATTTACATTTTTTGGAATTGAGCAATAATTAATTAATAATTTGAAATAAGTAATTTATTTTTGCATTCCTAAAAGTTTAAAGATCTATTTCACAATATCTGATTAAATATAAAGTTTCTGTTCCTGTTATTATACTGATAGTAAACTTGTAATAGCTTCTGTCCAAAATATGTGTCACGACCTCACATAAAACCGGCGTGAAACAAGGCTAGCGTTATGTATTGTCACAAAGGAAAAATCTAGATGTGTCCTTCATGTGTGTTGCCTAATGAGTGAGGTTACCGAAGGGCCAAACTCTCAATCGAGAAATCCCCTCAAACTTCTGGCAACACTCGCAGCATTTCTGGTGTTAGTAGTACCCATTGGCCACACTAATTGCTTACCACAGAATGATGTGCTTCGATATCCCAAAAAACAATATGCCATTTGAATTAGTTACTTTTTTATGGCAAAGGAGCAGACGGATCGCCTGATGGTAAGCAAACTGCGCCGCCCATTGACACCCGTAACGCCAGAAGTCTTTTAAGTGCGTTGCCGGCCTTTTAAGGAGATTTGAATAAGGACTTACAAGTCGTTGCCAGCTTGTCGTGGGTTGTTAGGGATTAGGGAATTTAGGTTGGGGCGAAAGGATTGGGCTTTCCGTAACGTCACTCACACGGCGAAACACAATGCACGTGTTTGTTCATGACAGTATTCTGTAAGGTTGTGGTATCACTCCGGTCGTATCAGCCCATAGGTACTGAAGCACGACTTTACCACTCATGGGATCGCCTAATAAGATATGGTCAAACATTTCCTTAGTTTGAAAAACGTAAATTTTAATAGGAACGTAATTAGCCTTAGAAGCGTCTTTTATTAGCTAAGATAAGGTATTTATTTACATTTATTTATAATTTTCAGTCGAAGTCTATGTAAAATAAATACAAGCAAACATAGCTGTAATTTTTGCTAGTAATTTCTTATTGCATCCCTAATGATTTTAACTTAAATATGAGCAAAATCTAACTTGGAAAAGAAAAGCATAATGAAATAACCAAGAAGGAAAGTGAGAACCTTCTGCTTCTTAAAGAAAGAAGTAGGCACTAATATTCATTTGATTTTAACCTGCATGCCAATTATATGCAATATTTTTTTTAAATAGTTAACTAGACAGAGATATACTAAACTTATTGAAAATAAAGACTTACTCATGTGAATAAACTGAGGAAAGCTCGACTAGTTTCAAGTCACATGGGGACTCTTATTCATGAGTGACCGATGAATGCCAGTCGGTAGCGCGTTTGCGTCGCTTTCGCAGTTAATTCACTCACGTGATAAAGTCGTTATTTTCAACATTACATATTTTTTGAGTAAGTTATCATTGCTCATATTAATAACGACCAGATGCTTCATCAGATTTGAGATCCAGCACTCAAATCAATTAACATTTTTGCTGCAAGAATAATAACAACAGAATGATAAAAAATAAATAAATTACAAAACTATTCATTGGCAAGTTATAGGAAATAGGCATAAATTACAAATGTTGGGTACTTTCGTGAGACATATTAAATTAATCATTATGTTAAACGGCTTATACACGTTACTGTTTACACAATCGACGCTTTGGACGTCGCGAAAATACTGAATAAGTATGAATATGAGCCCCCACCGTCTTGAAATCAGTCGAGTTTCTCGTGAAACAGTTACGTGAGTAAGCCGTTAAACATAATAATAATAATAATTATCGGGTATATTTACAATCACTATATAAACTTTATACATAACCTATACGACTAAATATTTACATTAATTATATTTATTTTTGGTGTTAATTTCAATTCATTTGAAAAGCTTTAATTTTTTTGTTTTAAGTAGGAAAAAATAAATTAGCAAGACCATTTTATTTATTTTTTTAGCAATCGGAAAGACCAGTCTAACTTTTCTTTTGGGAAAACGCATAGTATTCAAGTTTAAAGGAATTAAATATTAAGTAATTTATTTCGTTTTATATTAGAAATCACTGAATATGAATGATGGATGGGTAAGAAAATAAAAAAAATCCGTCAATTAGATAAGACTTATAACATATTATATAAATGTCTATACGTTATCGATCAATACAAAATTTTCTGAGTCGTGACGTCACAAGACATTTCAAGTCGATAAGTATTTGATTGCGTAAAAAGGAAAAATATTGTCCATTATTATGAACCAGTTATCTAAAAGACGGACATGAAAACAATTAAAAATTAGTTATCATTACTATTAAGTATGTAATTTAGTGTATAAATTCATACACAGGTATTAAAATTGTCCGCCAGGGTTACGGGGCAAACGCGATAAAAGCAAAGCACCCGGCCCTGAGCAGGAGAAAGAACGGGAGTTTTCAGTCAGTAAGAGTCTGACACTCTCTCTCTCATCTCCCTTCGGGCGAGAAAAGTCATTTGATGATCTTCCCCTCACAAAAAAAGGTGTTGAAATTGTATTTCGAAGACGCAACTTGGTCCTTCCGTCCGATTATATCTGCATCTGGTCTTTTCGCTAGCATAGGTGGCGTAAGCTTGCAATTTTTAGCAAATTGATACATTCATATTTTGAGATCATTCTGTGCAAAGCAGGAAACAAATGCAAAATAATAAATAGCAAACAAATTGTGAAAGTTAATAATGATTCTTTGATAAAAATTGTATTATTGGAGTATTCGTGTAAATTATTATTTTATGTTCCTTTATTAACCTCCATATGTATAAGTGTAATATTAAATATATATACCACTTTCTCAAATAAAAGAACTAGCTGTTCTTTTTTTATTTAAATAAAAAAGGTTCATTAAAATACGACTGTTAGTTTAGTAGATAAACGCGAACAAACTGAAAGTAAAAATTCACTTCTCTAACATTTTAGCAGCATAAATTGATTCGTTTCTTCACAGTAATCTAAATGTTGGCACTTACATTATAGTTATATAAATACATACGATAATAAACCTTATTTATCTTATTAATACGTATCACAATCGATTCATAAAGTTATCTTAAATAAATTGCACTATTATAATACATTTTCGTCAAAATGTCACACTGTAGTTTGTTCACGGATGTTCTTGTTAGATTTTGATATTAATTTCTTTAGAAATACAGTTCAAATTGCTTCTGTACTTTTAATATAATGCTATTTGAATTCATTTTATAATTTGAACGTTTACAGTTTGCTTAACGAAGAAAAAAATCAAATTGATTTGTTCAGAATGTCTAATTGTATATTTGAATGCTTAGGTACTTACTTTTTATCTTACGCATAGTTCCGGGTTCAAAAATGAAATTAGTGCAAAAAAAAACACGACTACAATTGAGTTATCAAATTGAATTTGGAACAGATTGACAGGAAAATGTGATTCTTTATTTAAAAAAAGGAATCGTTAGCTTTCGAGAACAGTTAAAACGGTCAGTTTCAAACGAAATTCGAACATCGATCGCATTCAAATAACTGGCGTCAGATGAAAGGTAATCCCTAAGCGATGATTGGTTCACTGATTTGCCGCCAAACAGTTGACCAATGGCTTGGCTTTTCCAAGTTTTGATACATTATCGTGAACAGACTGCAGTGTCCACCATTACCTCAAAAAACACTGAAATGTCCTCGCTAATTGGATAGTCCACAACTATTTTCGTTTTCTTTCTCGACCCTAGGATCTTGGGATCCTGGGCGTTGCCACAATCACGTGTGAGAGTGTCCCAGGCTACCATGAGAGTGATGATGATTGGCTGCAAGGTGATGAAAGTAGGGGGCGTAAGGACCTGGTCCTGTGAACGGGTATGGGACCCCGTGGGAGTACAATAGACCCCCAGGGTAGGGCCCCGATGGGAAGCCCCCCGCCGAAGGTGGTGGAACCGTTGGACTGTTGACATCCATCCCCGGATTCTGCTTTTTCCATTTCGTGCGACGATTTTGGAACCAGATTTTGACCTGTAGAAAAGAATTTGGTCAGAGAAGAATATTGGAATGGTTGTTTTGAGTTGAGTTTATCAAACACCAAATTTAAATGATATTATTAAGACTATTTGAACTTCTGATGGTTTTGTAATAATTCTAGAAGATTAATTTTTAATTCACGGTTATAATTAAAAGTGGATTCCTTTACTTTTTTAACTTTTCAATCGTGTTCTTTCGTGACACAATAGAATGTTTGATGAATTAAAAAATAAGATAATGATTGTCTTATGTAAAGACCAAGAGCATAACGGGAAGGCTACTGTAAATTTTATGAATTCAGCAGGTCAAACCACTAGCCGTAGTGTAACAGAAACAAGGGAAGAAATCTCACCTGTGTTTCAGTCAAGCTCAAACTCAGCGCCAGATTCAGCCTCTCGCAGACTGACAGGTACCTCGTTGTCTTAAACTTATTCTCCAAAGAAACCAGCTGCTCATAAGTGAAGGCTGTTCTTGCTCTTCTAGGCTTTGTGCCACCTTTGGAGTCTCTCGAAGAGCTGCTCTTCCCTTTTTTTGAGCTGGAACTTGTGGGGCTTTTGGGATCCCCATTTTCGTCCAGGTCTGATTGCGTGAGGATGTCATCGTCTAGGTTTGAGGTCTGGTCATCCGTCTCCACTTCATCTGCTTCGATATCCGAGTGCTGCAAGTGGTCTTTTACTGCAACAAAGAAAAGAATTATTGTTAGATAATCATGGTGTTTATTGGTCGTTTCGCCTCCCGAAGGTTTTTAAATAACGCCATGAAAGTCTCCATAAATAAGAACGCATCATTTCTCATAATTAACTAAACTTTTTAAATACTCATTTAAGAACTCTCAACACTTAACAGCTGATGCTATATAAATAAAACACTTTTATAGTTTCCTCATAACGCCATTTTCATAAAAAATATTCATGTTTTTCAGATGATATAATGGACATTTCCGTTTCCTTCTCCGTCGGCGCGCGTAGCTAGTGTTGCCAATGCAAAATAGTTTTAAAACGGCTATTAATTTTTAATGTGGTAACATTGGTAAGAAATTCGTAGTCCGGAAACATTAAAAAATAATTTATGGCGGGATAGTTTTGTGTTTAGTGAAATGACTAAAATGCGAAATTTAATGGTGGACAGGATGTATAAATATTAGCGAAATTGGGCGCGTGTTTTATAGCGTTTAGTTTTTCGTTTCGGATGTTGGGAATGGGGTAGTGATTGGTGATACGGTCAATTTACGTTGGAAGAGAGATATTTTTTGATACTTAAACAATCTGTTAATATTTTTAGTCTGTGCTGGTGACGATGTGGCGAGTTTACGAGGATTGCTGAGCGTATAATTGATGATAAACAGCAGGATGTGAGTAACATAGTATCACAGAACATAAACTGCTACACGCCAGTTATAATATTTGCAACAAATTAAATCGCAAATGTTAAAGTATTTACGTTACCATCCAATAAAACATAGGAAACTAGGATTAGTTCACTATAAAATATTTATCATTTGATTTTGAATGACTGATAGAACGTTATTTGTTCTTTTTTTAAATACTTATGGAACGTCTTCGATGACTTGGCAGTTTTAAAAAGATTCCATTTTTAAAATTCAAAATTTTTGATAAGTGGTACGTAACGATAAATGATCGAATATTAATTTCTTGGAATTGTTTGAGAGGTTATGTTTTAAATCAGTTTAATAAGTCAAAGACGTAATTAATTCCACGTAGTGAATTCATACTGTTCTTTTTTGTGTTAGGGGAAAATCATCAAATGATTTCTCTCGCCCAGAATGATACGAGAGGTAGTCAGACTCTTAATTACTAAAAACCGCTCATTCCTTCTTCAGCTCTACGCCGAGACCGCTGAATTCGTGATTATCGACAATATTATTAATAGGTAGAATACGTAGATGATAGTAGGTAATAAAACTTCCTATTCAGTAGTAAAGTCTCCAACCACTTAATCAAAGAGGCAATTTAGAAAACTTTCCCATAAATATTATTTCAGTTCATCCTTCAGTATCGACTGAGAATTATTCTCACATTAAACAAAACAAACAAATAAAACGCCCTATTAGAAAATATACTAATAAGAAAACGTCTTGATTACAAACGACATAAACGGCAAACCGTTTCAAGCGAAAAGTGACAATAAAATTGAGAAGTTAAAGTTTAAATTGCTGTATATGGGAGAGTCGTTAAAGATGTTTTTGTTAAGGCTTGCGGACTACAGTGTGCAGCGCGTATTAGCGCGATAAAATAAGGAGCAGATGTCGTGACGATGGATATATTATTGGTGCGCATGCGCCGATCGTTGTCCGAATTAAATATGTCGTATAAGGTTTGGTTAGATAGATAGCTAATTATATTAATAAATAATATTTATTGTCTTCTAAGTGAGAAAAATGTCGATCGTGGAGCTCTAATAAGGGAGTGATATCACGGCCTCACAGAAAACCGGCGTATAACAACCACAGCGGTGTGTTTTGCCTTGTGAGTAAGGGTACCGGAGGCCCAATCCTATCCCTCCCCTAATCCCTGCCCAAACCCTAAATGTCCAAATCCCTAATCCCCAAAGGTCGGCAACACACTTGTATCTCCTCTGTTGTTGCGATTTTCTCCTCTTGCTTACCAGGAAGTAATCGTTCTTGCATCAATACTTTTAGCATTTCAATCGTGGTAATTCGAGACACAAAAGAACAATCAGTATGCGAACGCCGGCGTTCGCTTGGGGTTTGGTGAATAGAATACTAAATAATCCTTCATGTAAAGCAAACGTAGCATGAAATCGCTCACATACCCCACTGTGCAAGCGACTTTAACGCTCCTGAACAAATAAATCGCATAGTTTAAAGAGATCATTTGTCTGTCGGTGAGTAGCTGGCTGCGAAGCCGACATACCTTGTTAATTGACTGCCGGCACAAAAAGTATCCCAACACTAATAGACAGCCACGACTTAATTAATTCGAGAGCCATTTTTAAAATGGCCGCTGATTTACGACTCAATGTGTAACTAGTTGATACGATTTTAACGTCGTTGTCATTCCGATAAAGTATTATTTATAAGTCTTTCGTAGAGAGGAATATATGTATTTTTTTATCATTAGGTACTCGAAGAACCGATGACCATTGGGGTAGATGTGTTCAAGAGTGGAGATCACGTCTAGGCAAACGTAGTGTAGGGTGCGCTCCAGCTAAGACTGACGGTATTCGCCGGGTGGCTGGCAATGGTTGGATGCGAAGAGCTGAACATCGAGCTCAGTGGCTTGCAATTGAGGATGCCTACGTCCAGCAGTGGACGGAATCAGGCTGATGATGATCTCTAGCGGGTATCATACGTATGGCAGTCGATTAAAGAACTACACTATTCTTTAAGCCCGGGTAGCGCTGTGTTTCATCGTGTGAGTGAGGTTAGCGGAGGCCCAATTTCGTCTCTTCATCCTTCATTAGGTAATCCAGTATTATTTATTAGTGTGATTGGATACTCCAATCCGTAATACGTATAATAAAGTGAGTTAAAAGACTAAGTTAGTCAAAGGACATAAAATCGCGAATAATTGTTAGATTAAAACATAATTTGAAAGCAGTGGACACTTATAGGCTGATGATGAGATCATGTGATCGACAACTATTTTTTCGTATAGTAATAGCTTAGTGTAGATTTCCGCTAAGTGATTCTGTTCTGTATACAGTTTTAACACAGGCACTGGCGCATACGTTTGTGAATTTTACTATCAATGCCTACATAAAAGAGTTTTCTTTCCTACTTTGACCACGTAACTGAGCACATAACAAAACAGGAATCGGGTATAAACACAATGTTTACAAACATGTGACGTCACAACGTTACAATGTGTGGAGTTGTCGACAACACCCCAGTTGTTGGTGAAACGCAAAGCTAGGGTTTACGGGGTCCCGCAGTACACGAGTGCAAAGCCAATGTGAGTGATGATACGTATACGTACGCCATGTATTTACAACATTTTCAGGGTGCGTATCGATGTGTTGTTGGGGAAACGTAATGTCCTTTATTTCCGTGTGTCGTGATGGCCCGGATGTTAAGGCGCCCGTTTCTCATACTGAGGGTGCGGGTCCGAATACTGGCTAGTACCAATGTGACATTTTCCGATTCATATGTACTTTCTATGATTATATAGACACCACTGACATACGGTGAAAACATCGTGAGAGAACCTGGACTTTTCTAATATAAGTAGTTTCTAATTATAAGTTTCACATCGCCAATCCGCCTTGAGCAAGCGTGGTGACACCTTCTCCGTGTGAGAAGAGGCCTTTGCTCAGCAGTGTGCACTTATAGGCAGATTATGATGATGATGATGATGATTATAATTATTATTTCCGTATGAACAGAGTAGTATAAATATGACACGATCCGTACCGTTCCCATAGGTATTGTTAGGTGTAAAACTGAGACACTTTGAGGCATTTTTAGGTGTGGGAAAGCCATGCTTCGGCACGAATGGGTCGGCTCGATCCGAGTGATACCACGGCCTAACAGAAAACTAGCGTGAAACAACCACAGCGTTGTTTCGTCATTTGAGAGAAGTTTCCGGAGGGCCAATCCCTAAATCTCCACAACCCTTATCCCGAAATGGTTGGCAACGCACTAAATCTGTGATCTCTAATCTGCTTATCAAGCGTTTTTAATGTTGCATACTCTATTATGAGTTAAGCCTACAGTCCAATGACAAAATAAGTAAATTAATGCAATTGGAATACTTTTTGTAAAAATCCTCTTGATTCTGAATACGGTGAATTTAATCTAGGTGACTGTCTCAAACTGTCTTTAAAACAAAATTCTCTAGCTAGAACAATTAACAGAATAAGAACAATTACCATGGAGTTTGGTAAGTTTTTATTAACAACTTTTTTTTTCATGTGATATGTCGGCAAACGAGCTGACGGATTATCTGATGGTAAGCAATCAGCGCCGCCCATGGACATCCGCAACAACAGAGGAGTCACGAGTGCGTTGCCAACCCTTTAGGGATTAGGGATTTGGAGATTTAGAGATAAGGGAGGGGGAAGGATTGCGTCTCCGGTAACTTCACTCACATGGCGAAACACAACGCTGTAATTGTTTTACGCCGGTTTTCTGTGAGGCCGTGCCACCACTCCGGTCAAGCCAACCCATTTGTACCGAAGAGTGGCCACATTTACAACTTTTACAACTACTACTTTGTAGAATTTTACATACATAGATTACACATATAACTCATGTATCATACAAATACAGATCTTATCAAATCGAAACAAATCACAGTTTCCCCTAAAAAAAACGATCAAAGGGAAATCGGGAAAAATCCTAATTAAATAATCATTATTCTGTAACAATATCAATCGTTACCCCATGGCGGGACTAACAAGGGTGCCACATTCTCTCAAACCTCCCCGAATCCCATCGAGGAAAGGCACTTGTAATCGAGAGAGCTTTATTAATTACAAACTTGGACCGCAACCCCCATACCTTCCACACACCCTAACCACCCCAAAATCAACGTATTACCATCCTTAATACCTGTTTACTAAGGTTAAAAATCCCATAACGGATCCCCATTAACCCAACCCAGTCTTATCTCTTGGGCGTAAGCGTCAACAGTGAGGTGGATATGATTTGGAGAATTCTGAACTTAATGTTGAAGGATTGAAGGTCGTTATTCGTTCGGTGGTCGTGTTCAAAAGGAGTTCATCAATTTGTTAAATGAAGAAAATGGAGATGTGTAATTTTGGAAGGATACTTGCTCGGTTGCTTCCGTAATATGTCTTGTGCCGTTCTAATTGTAATGTTGGTAACATGTAACGTCTTTAGTTAACTAGCTTAAGATTAGAACGTCTCTAGAGAACGTTAACGGCTTTCAAAATGGCGTCTATGACATTTTGATGTAGTTTATTTATCTGTACTAATATTATAAAGAGGTAAAATTTGTAAGTTTGTATGTTTGTATGTAGGGGGTATTCTTTGGAACCGCTACAATCTATAGCTACAAGCTACAATGTCCGTGAATGCTATAGGCTATAAAAAAACGCAACGCAACGATTAAATGAAGCCGAGCAGCGGGTGAAACCGCGCGAGAGTAGCTAGTTTATTATAATAAGGTCGGCCCCCAGCTTAAGTTTACAAAGTAGTTTAAAGTATTGGATATAGGCAGTAGGTCTTATACATTAGACAGTTACGAGCTAACCAACATTCTTAATATTATGCGTTTGTACAGACAAAATATATAGAAATTAAAACTAGAACTGATCAAATTCACAAAATAAGTAGGACAACAGTATTTATCATATTATAGTTCCTCGTGTAAATACAATGGATAATCTTATTTTTCTGTTAAATTTTGTAAGAGATGGAGACTCAGTCACTTTTCAAATAAGGCAATGGTTTGTAAACTGTCAGAAGTCAAAATCATTTATCCCAATTAATTCATCTCCAATTCATAAATTCGTTTCAAATCCCAAAAGGTGGTAAGGCACGAGAGACTTTTCTAGTGCTGTGGGTGTCCATTCATTTTGCCGATTGCTTACCATCAGGTAACAAAGTCTGTTCGTTTGCCACCCTGTGCTATAAAAGCCATATTTGTTTGAAGTAAGTTCGTACTATTACTCCACGGATCTTTACACATACATACATTTTCCTTATTATCTAAGAATTTTATCACTACATAGTATAAAACAAAGTTGCTCTCTCCATCTCTATATATGTATACTTGAATCTTGGAAACCACGCAACGGATTTTGATGCGGTTTTTTTAATAGATAGAGCGTTTCAAGAGGAAGCTCTATATTTATTATCAACATTGCAACCGGAAAATACTAATGCGACTTTTTCCGAGTTAAGCATATGCTTTCTAAGTTTATTTAGAAAGCAATGACGAAGGGTGAAGGAAAATATCGTGAGGAAACCAGAAGGTAATTATAATTTCTAATTATAAGTTTGAAATCACCAACTCACTTTGAGCAAATATAGCGGTTACTGTACAAATCCTCCTCGTACTATGCTCATCAAATTTTATTGGGTATTTTTGTAGTTAAGTGCTAAGATTTCGCTTTACAAATACATTTGAACATCCAAAACCAGAAGAAGGAGGAACCAGAGAAGAAACAACAACTGTAATAATTTTTAAGAACATTTAATAAAATACAAATTTACCTAAATGACTAAAAAGGTTTAATTTCACCCCTTATTTTATATTCACAACAGGCTTTAGGAATTTTCACGTAATTCCATTGGCGTAATTAAAAAGTCAACGGGAACAGTGCTGGCAACATAAAGCTGCTCGTTAACACCGCTTGCGACACTTCCGGCTTCCGCTTACAACAATCATGGCCGCCCCACCATAATTTCAAACGTTTCCGCACGAAATTTTCACTTTAAGTAATTGATTTAGGTACTTTTTGGTGAAATTTTGTCTTAGAAAGGAGTTTAATTATTTTTTTATTAATATCTGTAAATTACCTAATTTATTTGGTAATTTATATTGAGTTAGTAATTTGTAATTAAACTTTTAGGTACTTTTCGTTGCATTGAAACCGTATTACCATTATTGATATATTTCGTAATCTATTTATTGTCTATACATATAGGCTATCTGAAATGAATTCCTTCTATGGAAAAAGGCATTCATTGCAAACTTTTGCATAATTGATATATGGCATATTATTATACTACTTCAATAAATAAATGCCTTACAATATCTTAAAACATAAGTATGCTTTGAGTTCACTTTTAAACGGATGTAATATCAAAATATTTAAAACATATTCGTACACACATTAGTTAGAAGTACTAATACATACCAAAGAAACTTGTAAAGTAAAACTAAGTAAAAACGAAGGCAGTTAAGAGTTATGGATAAAATGAACATGATTCATTACCCAAATGATTTAAATAAACACGAAAGCAGAACTCAGAAATCTATAAAAAATAAACAGACAACTAATACAGAAACTGAAATACAAAAAATATTCTAATAACCGTTCAAAACAAATGGTATAATATACCATAGAAGCGCGCGTTCAACTGCATGTCCAGCGCGTCGGACCGGGCCTAAAGGACCGAAAAATAAGCCAATCCTAACCCTAAACGCTTCCAAAATTTATGTCCGCCTCTTGACCCTCGCAACGCCTTATTCACCTTTTATTTTTATTTGAGTGAGCAAGGAACAAATCTTAGCGTAAAAGGGATAATAAAATAATCGTTAGATTCGTTTAGACGACTCTAATTTCACGGATTGGTGCGCAAAGGGACGCTCGCAATATAGGGTTGATTCTGTCTCTTTTTCCCATATAGGGGGTTTGTATCTCCGTCTCTGTTCCTCGCCGTCCAATCGCCGCGAGTGAGTTGCACAAGTTGCAGACTTGGTTCTCTTATTTTTCCCTGTTTGCGGGTTTGTATAGGAAGTTTTTTCCACGGCGGCGGCGGCGGGAATGTTTTACGTTGATACCGGAGTTTATTTTAACAACTTCTATAAGGTTTTGAATGGTTTTTCGAAGTTAACATTACACTGTAAGATCGAATGTTACTATATTAAAACTTAAGCTAGTCCAAATCCTTCCTTATTCGTACTATACAAAATCAATCGCGCAAAATGGCTACTCAGCGTTATTCACAGTGCCCGCGCAAATTGCGTAAAAGCTGACCCGTAATAGATCAATGGCTATCGAACATCTCATCTAAATGGGACGGCCATCAAATCGGTCTTAAGGACCCCGTTTGCAATATTTACGCTTGACTCAATAATTTGGGGTTGACAATGAATCATAGAATAAGTAGATAGGTGACTAGGTATAAAAATGGTGATTTAGTTTTTGTTAGAAAATTTATAAGTTTTTTGTAGTCGGTTCAAAAAATGTCTTGTCTCATTGAAATTATATTTGGGGCTGCAATTTCTAAGCTGTTTATACCTTCTTTAATTGTGCCTTGGATAGATCCTAATGATCATCTACAAGACTAAGCCTTATAATACAAACTAGGTACATACTACTCCTATACGATTTCACCCGCTTGCTTTGCTCCTATTATTCGTCCCGTCATGTTTCATGACCGTTCCTTAATAAATGAACGATCCAACACAAAAACATTGTTGAATTCGAACCAGTAGTGTAGGAGAATAGTACGATCAAACAAATAAAAAAAAAAGAAAACGCTTCAGCTTCAATATCACACAAGGATCGATAAAATCCTTTTATAAGTACGTACTAAAAACTGTAAATTCTTTACTAATCTGTGGACTAAAAGAGGCCAAGACTTTAACGTATTTATTACAATCATAACATTTTCAAAACATTTACAAAAGAAAAAGAAACATCTTTTGAACTTCACAAAATCTATAAAAATCATCACCAGTTTAGTTGCAATCAGCGAATTAAAATTAAATAACTCGGAACTTCGGTCAAGCGGGAAACCATCAAATTGTCAACGGTGCAGCTGTGGCGACCTCTACAGACAAACAGACAGACAGACAGACTGATTTATTTGCAACATGATTTACACGAATCCGGTGTCAACGTCACGCGGGGAGAAAAAATACAATTTCCTATACTTTATATCTACTCGTAGTCGAATTATTAATGTTCTTTTGAATAAGATATATTTAAAATAAATAGGTTATATTTTTAGACGTGGCGTCGAGACGGTTTAAAGTTGTATTTTGTTGTTTTCATAGTTATTTCATCACGAGGTTCGGTATATATTTTTATGTGTGTCAATCAGCGTCGCAATAGACACCCGCAACAACAGAGGAGTCACTAGTGTGTTGCCGACCTTTTGTGGATTAGGTAATTGGAGATTCAGGGATGGGGAAGGGATTGGGCCTAATCTCACTTATGCGACGAAACACTACGCTATGATTTTTCATGCCGATTTTATGTGAGGCCCTAGCAGCACTCCCGTCGAGCCGACAGATCAGAGACAAAACCCCACACAAATTCTCCAAAACAGATCTGGTGTTGCTAATGTCATGGCCACCGCTGATCTCATAACAGATGCGCGGGTCTGCGGACGGCGAGTAAGGGCAGCTCGCCGCCCGACCAAAACCAGACCAGAGCGTACGGCGCATAGCGTTCCGCGCGCGCCTCAAAGAGCCAATAGACCACCACAGACGGGGCTCAACAGGGCTGATGTTCAGCCGGGGCTGCGGGGTAAGCGCAATGAGGCACCGCGACCTCGGCTCAGAGCAGGAGAAGAAACAGGGGGCTTTTTAGTCAGTAAGAGTCTGACACTCTCTCTCGCCTTACCCTGGGCGGGAGAAGTCATTGGATGATTTTCCCCTGACAAAAAAAGGCCCCCTATTCCCTAAACCTTCAAAATCCTAATCCCAGAAAGGCCGGCAAAGCACTCGCACTTTTAGGTGTTGCGAGTGTACATGGGCGGCGCCGATTGCTTACCATCAGGTAATTCGTCTGCCTGAATTTCGAACAACTTATAAATATCTATAATAAAATGTGTAACAAATATAAATTTTAAATAAATAAAAACCGCTAGAAAGCTAGGTTATATAATGAAAAGGCATTATATACCTAAATACTGGTTCAAAAGCAAAATCGTGAGCAAATATAGGTAATAATGAATTATAAACAGAATATAAATAAGACCATTGTCAAGAAAAACACAGTGTCATTGTAATAATTTGAATATAACAATAGAAAATGTCGTGTCGTGACCTGAAGTCTAGCAGCAATATAGTTTTTTCATTAAAAAATAAACACATTAAACATTGAGGAACAAAACGTATTCATTCACACTACGAACACGAATTTTATACATTTTCTAACTCACTGATTGATTGCTTACGCTACGTGACTTCATCTAAACAAACAATACTAACAGTCGATAAAAATCAATATACTCCTTATCACCTTAAAAAATAGAACACACAATAGAGAGTTTTTTAGTTATCAAAGTGCAATTTTTAACTTTGTCTTTTTGACTTTTGACGTCTGAATTCGATGTGTGACGTCACGTTTTATCATTTTGAAGGTTCATTTAATTTGTATTGGGTATTTAATTGACATGTTAGGTCCGGTGTATTGTTGCATATAATTAGTTTATAGGCATTTTTGTGAAGTAATTACTTAGGTGTGAACTAATAAAGTTATTGGACAGTTCCGTTATGGCAAGATGTTTTTTTTTTCATTTTCTTAGCGCTTTGTAATTGGTTCGTGTTTATTAGGAACAGTTTTAATTATTATATACGGATGTTAGTAACAATACAGCCGACGTATCTTGGCGAGTCTGAAGTTAGCCGATTAGCTGCGCAGTACACAATTTTGTTCCTAAAAGATCCATTGCGCAGACAAACGGCTAACTTCAGACTCGCCAAGATACGTCGACGGTATTGTAAGTATGTGTATCTGGAGGAGTTGTGGATGCAAGAACAATAATGAATTCGGGGCCCGGCTCTGAGCAGGAGAGGGAACGGGATGGTTTTAAGTCAACAAGAGTTCTCCCTCTCACCCCAAAAATAGCGGGAGAAGTCATTGTATAAAAGACAGATATGGTTAGGTGGCCTCTTCCTGCTCCAGGCTGAGTCCGGAGCAATTATTGCGTTTGCCCCGCAACGCGCTGAAATAATACAGTCCCTAAATAGAGTCCAAAGGACCCGCGCAAAGAGTTATTTTCTAATCTCATCAACATATAAAAAGGATAGGCAGAGCCATAATAGATATTAAGTAAACCAACTTTTCATTAGTTATGATAAAACCTTTTGATATTTCAAAAGAGCCTGACTGTAATTTAACGAATTAATAAAGATTTTAATTCAGGTTACTATTTCTACATAGTACTTTTAAAACAATGTCGCTCCCCGCTGTTTGTCCGTTTATCCGCCTCGATCTTTGAAACTACGCGACAGATTTTGATGCGGATTTTTTTATAAATAGAATGATTCAAAAGAAAGGTTTAAGTATTGTTTATAAAAAAATTAAGTGTATTTTATTATATTTAATTTATTAAGATTTGAATACGAAATCGCGAGCAGGAAGTTACTTGTCTATAATAAAGAGTGAAGCCTCCTAAGCACGAGGCCTCTATCATGGCAAAACATGAAATACATAATTGTTATTGAGGTACCACACATAATTTTTCATTTTTATCAGGCCTTTTGCCAAACTCAGTCGGCAATTCCAAATCAAAACCTTTCCAGTTAAGCTCAAGCAGGTTTATTATCTTTTGCTCGATTTCGAAATCAAAAAGAGAACCGTTACAGCCAATAGTCCACTACACATGAGGCCCAACGGGGCCGATTTTGAGACAGGGTTGCGGGGGAAGCGTAATAAGGCACCGCGCCTTGAAACGGGAGAAGGAACGGAGTTTTTAGTCAGTAAAAGTCTGACACTCCCTCTCGCCTTGTCTTGGACGAGAGAATACATTTGATCATTAAAACAACTTGTATCTCAATCAACAATGCATTAAAACAACATTAAGAGTCTAATAACAAAACATTAAATGGTTAAAAATAAACACAAAACGAAAATGCTATTTGCAATGGTTTTTTGTGCTCTACATAGAGACACGAGAGGTTGCGAATCTTTTGATAGAGTTTAAGAGAAATAGTTAAAAATAAACGTAGAGCTAACTATATTGGAGGCACGTCGCATATAAGATCCGTGATCACATTTTGACTCTACGTAGTAAATTGACTCAATAATTTAAAAAAACTAAAAAGAAAATTGTTATTAGGTCTTATAATAGAAGGTCTATTTTTACATGGTAGTGCATCGTTGACTGAAGAAGTCAGATTGACGGATCAGGAAAAATGGAGATTACATTATAAGCGAGTTCAATTTTCCAGAAAATCTTTTCTGGAATCTAGAAATTAGAGTACAAAGATAAATTTTACTGTAGCGCCCATCTTTAACACTTAGAACGCCGTGTCGGACAATGATGTCCGACGCTAGCGTAGGGTTAGCTTTCAACATTTTTGTCGGCAGTGAAATGCTTCTTTATTTCTAAACATTTAGACGCGTACCTTTCTTTTCAGAATTCAGAAATCAGAATTTTTGTTTGTGAATAGCTTCCGTCGCAGGCGAAGAACAATATATGTACTTGTGCCCGAACAACGGCGTTCGCTTGGGGTTTTATGAATTAAATAGATATAGTGATTAAAGAGGAAGGTTTATATGTATAATAAGATACATTAGATAGTGGAGAAATTTAGTAAGCATCAGCATTGCGAAGCCGGACGGGTTGCTAGTTAAATTATAAGTATATTAATCGCCAACCCCTAGTTCGTGGGGTGTGTTTTTTTAAGTTATCCCAATTTACTTTGAAAACATTTTCTATAATAGGTAATTTATTACCTATTATTAATTAACTGCTATACTTAGTTCAAAAGTTATGCGTATACAAACTTACTTCACTAAAATATATATATTTAATGCTGTGAAATTTTCCTGCACACTCGATGATCCGAAATCAATCCGATGTAAACCAAAAAGGAATAATTTTGTACATAGGCCATAAAACAGAACATTAACATTATTTATCTTGGTGAAGATTTCAGCCTACGTTTCGAGGTTTAAAGTTTTTCTTGGTTCAGCCAAGATGTTAGATGAATATATCTACCACACCATAAACTCTTAAACTTTTAAATTAAAATACCTGTTTTCATAAAATTTTTAATAAAAGAGTAGATAAAGTACACACAAATATACATGGTATATACCTCACCTCTGAGTTTGTTTCGGCATTTCTTCTCAGAGTAGTCAGATAGGAAATGCCGGCTTCATCTAGTTTTTCACATATAAATTGACCTGTAAAAGTGCTGTTTTATGGCCTATTTGCAAAAAATAATTCCTTGTTTCATTGTTTCATATATACCTACTACTACTACTGTTTTCCCGGCTACTCCATTAATGAAACAGACTTATTAATTACTGTTTACAAAAAAGAGCTCACAAAGCACTTCAGTAACATAGGTACACCAATTTTATATAAAGTACGTGCGTATTTAATTCCCCACAATTTGCCATACTCAGCGCCTCTGAATAGCCGCCGACGCTAAAATTCTAAAATTAATTGTTTCCAAAATTGCTATTTTTTATTCGCAACACTTTTTAGACTAATTTCAACCATTTAAATCACAAAAACACCTAAGTGATAATACAACAAAAACATTTTCTATCTTGCAACACTCAACTTCACTTTTTTTTTTATTTGACACTTCGATCGAAATTCGAATCTTTTTTAATTGGCCATTTTGTTTTTATTACCTACTTACATTATTTTGTTGGAATTTAATTTTTATATAAAAACTCTTTGCTTCACTGCTAAGGAATACTTATTGCTTTGATAATAAGTGGTGTGAAAAATCAGGCATTTAAATAGATACAGAAAAGTATAAGCTAAGCTATGAAATAAAATGTTAAACTGTATTTGAGAATGTATATGAATAAAGAAATATTGTAAGGAACTCAAAATTATCATGGAATTGATTATAAAACTTATTATCTGCCGTATTAGTATTATACGTCAATAACATAGAAACGATTTCTAGCTGTACAGTCTAAAAATTACCTATTTTCAAAACTCTTTTAATAAAGATTCACGATAGCCGCGAATACGAACGAATCACAGAAAAAAGATCTTAATAATTTTAATATACATATATTTCATCAACCCCCAAACAAACGCGCACATATTTTTCTGCTGTTGTGTCTCGAATACTACGATTAGAAGGTAATTTATAATAAAAATATCTACCAAAAACTGTGTCAACAAATTCTTATTAAATACCGTATAAACTCGTCGTAAATTTCTATGCCAAGTTTTGACCGATACACTGTCCATTCTCTTGTTTGAAGTTTCTATAGATTCTTACCTAAAAAACTACATATTTAACTAAAGTACAATAGAAATCTTACTAATATTCTAAGTGCGAAAGTAACGATGTTTGGATGTTTGTAACTCAATCACGCCAAAACGATTTTACGGATTTGGATGAAATTTGGCACAGGCATAGGATACACTAGGATAGGACATTGGCTACATTTTGGCATCTGTGATTAGGGTTGCCACCTTTTTTTGCAGTTGATAAAGTACATTGGTTATTATAGGTAAGAAAAAAAAAGTACATGGGATCACGATAAAGTACAATTTATTTTTATATTTATAAACATATTTTATATTGCTTTTTGAAGTTTGCATTAAATAAGTATCTCTACTAAAACATCTTTACAGTCTTTATTAAATTCAGAGACACTTTGTTTCTTTCATCTCTTCATCTCGCTGTTCATCACAGACTTTTCAAAATCCCAAAAAAATCAATACATGCAAAATAAAGTATTTTCGTGTACTTTATTGTTCTCATAAAGTATAGAGTACAATTATATGAAATAGAGTACAATACTTTATTATAAAGTACGGGTGGCAACCCTATCTGTGATACCTACAGGTATTTGCCTAGTACAGAGGCTAGAGTTTGTTATAAATAATGTTATAAATGTTGTCGATAAAAATGTAATGTAAATTAGATTTTTATTAATGTATAAGTCGGCAAACGTGCAAACGGATTACCTGATGGTAAGCAATCGGCGCCCCCATGGACACCCGCAACTCCAAAGAAGTTACGAGTGCGTTGCCGACCTCTTGGGGATACGGGTTGCGGATATAAGGATCTGGAAGGGATAGGGGAAGGGGAGGGATTGTATTATTGTAGATATTTAAATGTAACATAATGTGGTTAATTGCAGTATGTAAAATCCGTATTATTTAACTATGTAATTTTAGTAATCTTTACTGGATATTGTTTGTCAAGGGCACGGACCCCGAGTCCGTAGAGATTGTAATTGAAAAACAATAAAAAAAAACAAAAAATGTTGTGCTATTTGTGTACCTTTTTGAATAATAAATATTTTTATTTAAGTATTTATTTTTATCAACATACCGCGCGGGAGAAGCCGCGTGTGAAGCTAGTATTCAATAAACAAGGTACCTAATACCTATAGCTCACATTCCCATCCAACCCTAAGCCGTCGGCTTGTTACGGCTTAACTCAACGACAGTACCTAACCCCTGGTTCTACTCCCCCCTTATCTCAGTACAGTAACTTAGTTTGACGATATATTCTTAGCATTTGTAAAGTTGGTAAGGTTTTATTGTGATAAATTATGTATATAAAAGATTTTGTTCAACTATATGAAAAACTTTCTGATATGTTAAGCGTCTAGTGCTTCTCTCGCTTGTGACGTTTTTTTTTTTCTAATAAGTACATGTATTCTTAATTTGTGAGATCTATATTTTTTTTATTATTATTTAAATAAGTATTGTACTTTGACCGTCATTTATTAAATAGTTGATTTTATTAATTACTTTATAAATTTATTTTTGCTTTGAAAACCCAAAATTATTTATTATTACACATTAAAAAATTCTTCGAAGAAAAATAATGATTACTTAAAGAGTTTTCTATATTTTTTCAACTTGATTGATTCATTCTTGATTTCCGTAATCATCTAAATAAGAAAATAAGCCAAACTATCTAACCATTCTCGAGATTGAATAAGACTTATTGATGACTTTCGTTGATAATAATTAAGCAAGACGCTTGAAGAATCTGTAGATACTCTAGAGTTGTACCTATTAACCTTTTCTCCTACCAGTTTTTAGAGTCTAAGCTAGAACCGAAGTTGTTGGCCAACGCTAAGTGTTACAAGACCCGGATAATACACACACTATCGCATATATCACATATACCTATAATTTATTCTTTATACTATGTACCTACCTAATTCTATTATAAACAAAACACGACCTGATTATGTTTACCATATTCTGTTAATAAGTACCATTAATATTCTTCATATTTTAACTCCCTATGCATTTTTTCAACAGGTGGTATTTTTTTATTATAATATTATACAGATTAACTGTTAACACAAAACATCACGCTGCGATCAAATGGAGCTGAGCAGCCGGTGAAACAGCAGGAGAGTAGCTAGTTGTTTATATTTTTGTACTTTTAACTTGCTATATACAACTGTTTAATATTTACTCAAGATAACATACAATTGATTGGAAAACATCCACCGTTAATCGTGATTGGTTGTTTTATTTTCCGTGCAACCAATCAGACTGATTAAATTATCGCGCTGATTTGTAAAGGTTTTAATAAGTATTTGAAGAAATTGTATAGTGCTATTCAATGACGGTGTTTAAATTTGGAAGATTTAATCTTCAAGAAAGATTCTTCCTTCTTCATTGTTAGTTACTAAAGAAACAGTTTTGATAGATACTGGCTTTTTATCTAATACAAACTAATTTAAAAATACCTTTCTACCTAACAATTGATTCTGGACCCAATATGACATTTTATTGGCCAGGATTAAAATCAAAGTGAAAATCATTTATTCCAACTAATCCATAAACAAAGTACTTTTGAAATGATAAACAGAATAATAGTCTGTCAGTCTGTTCGTCTGTGAAGCTAGGTGCTAAAGCTGAGCCAAGTCCAGCACTCACCGGAGTCACTGTCGTCCCTGTCGTAATGTGGCCGCCAGTACTGCTCGTCGTACCGCAGCGGTACTTCGGACCGGCCCGTGAACTTCGTGGGGTCCAGGATATTCTCCACGGAGAATGCTATGGCTGGCCTGTCGGGCGGCCGCGTCAGCCCCAACCTCCTCGTCAGGTCCACAGGCGCGGCCTCCTCCACCCCCACGACGTCAACCTCGCCGTTGGCCTCAGTTTCCCCTTCAGCCTCATCCTCGGGCTTATCCCGACGCTCCTCCGATCCTCGCGCCATCGCAAGCATCGTCATAGCAAGGCCTATTTTAGTATAATGTGGATTGTAAACATCTGAATGTTCAACAAAACATTCCAGTTAGTAACACTTCACTGCACACGGGTGTCTGTATGGCTTTGCGGAAAGTCCTCTAAGCAGATGTGGTGCGGTAACAGGTGAATTAGCACTAGCATGGGTGAGCGCGCGGCGTGCGAGCTAGCGGTGGACACGTTCGTCCCAGCCCAACATCCGACAGTCACAACTCGGTGTCAACTGAAACCGGGAGCACAGAAACGGGCGGGCACACGAAAGGAGGGGACGGGCCCAAAGTGGGGGCCAAGCGTGGAATCTCGTCACCCGATTGGCGGCGGGAAACGAGGCGTGCCCGGGGTGGAGAAACGTAATCGAGCAATAAGGTTTAAACAATTTCGTTTAATACGTTGAATTATGTAAGAGAGCGGCGGGCAAGTAATCGCGCACAAGCGATAAGGCCATTTGCGCTACTTCGTTACGTATTAATAGGCCAGGAAATTGACTTATGAATATTAGAGGTCGCGGCGAGTTGAAGATCGGGCTAAAGCGGCCCCGGGCGGCCGCGACCGGTTATTTTCCTAGTTAAGCGCTGAAACAATGATGTTTATTGAGTTTTGAACTTAATGGGTTTGGGCGCGAGCCGCGGGCCATTTGCGCCATTAGCTCAGTTTGTTTAGCCGACAACGTAACGACTTTTCATGAAAACGGTTTCAGCGTATTACGTTTCAGTTTCAGCTTTTGTTTTGATGGAAAATATAAATTGCAAATAATCCGAAGCCTAAGTAAATATGCTTGTAATGTAAAAATAAATAGACAATGATAATCTGAAGTAAATTGGAAATTATACAGGACCTCAGATGTTTATTCAGCATTTTTAAATAATAATTTAAATAATTTGAGGTGCATTTTATGATTATTGGCAACATGGGATTTTATGACGATAAAAATAAAACGAAGTGAAATTAGATTTTGCGATTGTGAGTACATTATCTGGAAAATCGTTGCTCAAGATATTGATTACGTTGTGCGTATTCACATCAAGGATGACATTGATTATCGACTAACATTAAAAATGTGTAATTATAAGTAAAACAACTGTGGCTTCGGTCTTGTTCTAGACGTATGAATTTGAAGTGCACTAAGTATCGACGTGAGTTTTTCTTTATTCTATTTACTACGTTGAAGCAAAACATTATGAAGCAATCTGGTCAATTTTTATTTATTTATAAGTCTGATATCATCTAACGTCCTTAAATTAGTGTAGTGATTTAATGATCAACCTTCTCCGTGTGAGAAGAGGCCTTTGCCCAGTAGTGGGCACTTATAAGCTGAAAATGTCTAGAATAAATTAAATCTTTAATAGCTGTGACAAGCTATTGTCATTTAATTTAGTCAGCGTAGCGGACTACGCGCTACGGGCCGCGTAGTCGGCTACGCAAGTTAGACTACGAAGGCTATGCTTCCTACGATAATAAAATTATTATTCAAATTTTACATACTATATGATTTCATCAGCTGTGTATTTCTTCTTCTCCCTAACTTGCATCCTTCCATTTATTTGTGTATTTTAAATAACATATATTTATAATAGAATTGGTTTGTTTAATCAATCAAAAAAAGCATTTCAATATACATAAGTTATCACAACTTTATTAATTAATTTTACAGTATATTTTATTTTCGTATTCTTTTAAATGTGTGACGACAAACGAGCAAACGGGTTACCTGAAGGTAAGCAATCAGCGTCGCCCGAGTTACGAGTATGCTGTCGACCTTTTCGGGATTAGGGATTTGGAGATTTTGGGAAAGGGAACGGATGTGGATAGGGGAAGGATTGGGCCTCCTGTAACCTCACTCACACGGCGAAACACAACTATTTGGTTATTTCACGCCGGTTTTCTATGAGGCCGCGGAATCACTTCGGTCGAGTCGTCCCATTCGTGACGAAGCATGGCTCTCCCACACTTAAATTGTGGAGTTATAACATTGCAATGAAAAATGGCATTGATTTTTCATATATATAGATAAATAAACAGCTACCAATTGCCATATTAGTTCGGTTGAGGGTCGCCGGCGTAAACCGTGCGTCATCAGTGTAGTTTAAAGTTTTGTTCCATTTTGTATTTACACGGCTAATCGCAGTTAAAGATCTAACGTTTAGAGCTGGCAATGACATGCATGATCTCAGCATTTCGATACGGTCCTCCAATCAAACGAGATCTGTATACAGGGTGCTTGAATTTTGCTTAAACGAAATTTCGTTTATATTGAACTGCCTAAAAATTATAAATAACATACCTTGATTTCTTTTACATAAATTACATTACACACATTGCACCTTTTTTTAGAATTGTTAAGCACAGTGTTTTTTTCTTAATTTGCACCAGGATCATAAATAGGTTAGGTTGTAGGTTCAATTACAAATAAAATTAATAACCTTAAAATCCGAAGCAACCCAAAAAAATCGTAAAAACAATGATTGTTTATAACTCAGAAACCCAGTGTAAGTACTTTTAATAATTTTTTTAATAAAATTCACAATACAATCAGCAGCTAAAAGCTACTACAACCCAATAAAAAAAAAGCAACACGCTCTATAAAGTGTCGAAATCTCACCAAAAAAGTGTCAAATTCCATCTCGTCCCGTTTTATCTGTGGTCGATTGATGGCGCGTCAGGGCTCATTGTGTACACAATTGACCCCCTCCGGCCACCACTCTTAGAGGCTCTTCAACGGACATTTTTTTGAATATTTTCTACTTTTTAGTCTACTATTACTAGTTGCTACTCGTTGACGTTTCCTTCTTGTTAGACTGACAGCTATTTGTTTCTTTTTATTTATTATTTGACCTTAAATCAGGATTGGTCTCATACGGCCTTATTACAAATCAAGGTTTTACTTTAGTCTAGGACTAAACCATTGAGCCAGTTTTTGTATTTCGAATTGAACGTAGATGACAATAAGATTCAAAATTCAAAACCCGACTCAATGGTTTAAACCTGGACTAAAGATAAATCTTGTTTTGTAATAAGGGGGTTATAGTTCATTTTTCCTCAGCCAGATAAAACTATCTACATTAAACTAGAAAATCGATCGTCTTAACACTTACATATATTCTATATTATCTATCAGAATTGGAATAAAAGGTAGGTAAGAAATAATGATTTTGAAGGGTTTTAAATCAATCGGATTATACCTATGCATCATGAAAGTGTCAAAACATCTATGAAATATGCACTAAATAGCCTGAAGTTTATATGCTTAACCTAATCCCTCCCGTTCCCCTATCCCTTCCAGACCCTTATATCAGCAACCCCTATCCCCAAAAGTTCGGCAACGCACTCGTAACTTCTTTGGTGTTGCGGGTGTCCATGGGCGGCGCCGATTACCTACCATCAGCTAATCCGTCTGCTCGTTTGCCGACTTATACCATAAAAAAAAATGCTTGATGCACCAATAATACAATATAAAATTTCCCAAGAGCAAAAACAAATATTTTTGAGTTAATTTCCAAAGAAATGTGTTGTGTTGGGGTGTTTTTCAAAATTAGTGTATTTATCAAGAATGAAAGAAGGCCGCGTGATATTCGGGAAAACCCAGAGAAATTATAAGTGTGTTGCTTGTCTTTGGGGTTTCGAGCCTTTGAAAAGTCATCAAAAGCCTTAACACAACGCAAACGCATTTTTACTACGCCGCTTTTCTGTGAAGCTGTGATCAACTCTAGTTGAGTATTCACAGTACTCGCGTAACACTACTATTCATTTATAAATTTCAACTTCAATCTATGCAAGTTAGACTATCTCACCAACTTCAATAAGTATAAATTTCAGAGTCATTCAACTAACTAATAAAACACAGTGTGAATAGTTGGAAAACGTTCAAACACTCAACTGTCAGTACCATAGACAACACTCGTATCTATTTGATTTGTCGTTTTAGAGTTCCCTCTACCTCTTTTGTTTTTTATTGTTGCAAGTTACAAATTGAACTGCGTATCTATCTACGAAAAAAACACAGTATAAATTATTTCTAAATAGTTGTGTATGCAATTTTGGTAACCTTTTCGTAAGCAAATTTTCCCATTGGCCTGATTAATTTACTGAAACGTACCTATCCTCTTATCTATCTTTATATATAAAAATTTCGTGTCACGTGTTTGTCCGCGATGGACTCCTAAACTACTAAACCGATTTTAAATTTGATTTGCATTCCGTGTGCATTTTGATCCAACTTGAAAGATAGGATATCTTATATCTCAATGTATAGTCACAATGAAACAATGAATTTATTTTTGCAAATAGGCCATAAAACGGCACTTTTACACGTCAATTTATATGTGAAAACGTTCAAACACTCAACTGTCAGTACCATAGACAACACTCGTATCTATTTGATTTGCGCGCAGCTGGAGGACATTGTGTTTTGACACCGTGTCGAATCGCGCTGCGTTGAAAACTCCGCGGGAGAGTACTGTTACACTAATGGACGAGTAAAAATCATTAACTGTATTTATTATTGCATTCTTTGTTGAAAAAAGAAGCTACGTAGGTAGTCTATGTTGATAATATCGTAATAAGCTAGATTTTAATATGTTCGAAAAAAATATAAAAAAATAAAGATGAATCATCAAACATGCTAAGTGTGGGAGAGCCATGCTTCGGCACGAATGGGTCGGCTCGACCGGAGTGATACCACGGCCTCACAGAAAACCGGCGTAAAATAACCACTGCGTTGTGTTTCGCCGTGTGAGTGAGGTTACCGGAGGCCCAATCCTTCCCCTTCCCCAATCCCTCCTCAATCCCTAAATCTCCAAATCCCTAATCCCTAAAAGGTCGGCAACGTACTCGTAACTCCGCCGTTGCGAGTGTCCATGGGCGGCGCTGATTGCTTACCATCAGGTAATCCGTCTGCTCGTTTGCCAACCTATTACATAAAAAAAAAAATCGTTGCTGCTAGGTTTTAATAATAAAGAGGTTGTTGCACTTTGATTTGTTGTTTTTATTTATTATAGCATATTTATTTAGTTTAGAAAATTCAGGTAAGGCGTTATTTTCAATAAATATACTAAGGAATCTTAACAATTATCTAAAATATGCATTATGCTTTTTCGCAATTAATTCATGAAGCCCCAAGCGAACGCCGGCGTTTGCGCGCATATTATTCTTCTATTGTGTCTTGAATTATTGTGATTAAAAGGTAAATAGATCGTTTTACAAAGTAACCACGGTAAACCTTTTATGAGATGAAGAGATGTGGTACCTAATGATGACAAATACATTATGTCAAAATAGTAAACACAATTTCGTACAATTCTACAAATTTTAAACGTGGAATATCTGATTCAGAATTAAAAAAATGCTCGTCATTTGTACCATAAACAAGT